AGCCCAGCGCGCTGCGAACGCGCTGCAGGCGCGCTGCGGACGCGGTGGCCATCACCTAGATTTAGTTTCTCGAAAAGCAGCCCGTGAGGAGGTATGGCGCTAGCAGTGAAATAGTTGGCTATACAATTAATGGGCATCACGGCATCAACCAAACTTTTCTACCTTTGTGGAGGATATGTCTGGCTGTAGGTTGTGTTATATACATGTATACAAAAGCGCGTTTTTCTACCTTTGTGCCCTTTACATGCCTATGTCATTGTGTGCAACCCTGTACAATTAAGGCAGGATCCAATTTGGCGGCTTTGAAAGCACCACAGCATCTGGCAGCGATGAGCTTTGCAAAAGCCATGCATTGCACAATGTACCTGTTGCATCTGGCGGTACCTTGGGTCTGACAAAGAACTCGAGGTTCGTCAAGTGAAACCTCAGGGACGGTGGCCAAAAAAACCCAGTTACCCATGATGGTTTCAAGCTTCAAGCCGCATGAAAAAACAAACATCTGGATTCGTGTGAGGCTGAATCAACCATCTCTGGGCCTCAATGTCAGTAGCAAATGAAGCCACTGCAGGCTTATCGGAATCCATCCTGACAAGCTCATATTCGAGCCTCGCCTTCAAACACCTACGGCATGCACGAGCAAGCAGTGCATGGCATGGCTTGAGCTTAGAAATCAAAAAATATCAAAATTCCATGCAATTCCCGAAAAAAAAGGCAACATACGCCACAATACGTTACCAACCTGTCGCGGGTCTTGTTGAGCAGCGCCGCACCTGGAGGCCAATGATCGCAATGTTGTCTCCAGCTGCTGGTAGGCCTGTCCAGGTCTCCAGCTTGACCTATCCTGACCTCCAGCAGTTTAGCCATGTTTAGCCTTCACCCCGGTTGCGTTCTTTTTGTTATTCTTTCTCCCGCTCTATATCTCTATCTCTCTACTTAAGTATTTGTTTCCCTCCCTCCCTCCCTCCCAACCTCCCTCTCTCCCTACCTCCCTCCCTCACTCTCACACTCTCACTCTCTCACTCACTCTCACCTCTCACGTCTCACTCTCACTCTTTTTTTTTTCACTCTCTCTCTCTCTCTTGTAAAATTCAGCAGCTGTTTGTTTGTCGTTTGTTTGTGCACGTCTCTGTATTGTTTTCCTCTGGCAACTGTCCTTAGGCTCAAGGCCTCGATCCAAGGAGTACGAGAGAGTAAATGAACTATTGTAAAAGAACTTGTCTCTTGACAACGTCCCTTGGTTTGATTCATTGTGGAATCACACCATCCATAAACATTGTTGAAACTGTAAAGGAATATTATTGTCCAAATCAGTTCAAAGCATTGTGAAGTCTGTACATCAACTTGCCATTGTTCTTCCAGCTGGTTGCCTTTTCGCTTCGTTGTGCTCGTTTGAAACTGTCACATCTGGGACCTGGCAACTTGTAGAACCATTGTTCTAGCCCTCCATGAAGTCGATCGTATTGTCCAAGGTCTCGGTTCTGGGACGTTTTGTCCCCTTTCCATCCTCTTCACCCTCGGATTGTTCCAGGTCAATTGTCCTGTCACGTTCCTTAATGTAGGAACTGTGTTCAGGATGTCCTCTCTGATGCCGCTTCGGGATTGTCACGTGGTACGTGTCAATCTTTCTCTCTGCCTTGTAAACTCCAAGGGCCACTTGTACCTCTGGTAGCAATTGTGACTGGCCGAATTGTCCAAGATGTGCCAGCGCCATTCCGAAGATTGTGTGATGCGGAGAATCTTCCGGAAGGGTCAGCATTGTTCTCACGTGCATTGTGCATTGTGATAGTCGATAGTTGTGTGGTGCATGTACTTGTAGTACCTGCACGCTGTACCCTCGCTGGAATGACGAGAGCTTCTTTTGTGACATGTGATGGATCTGATTGTATCCATCGAAGGCGACCGCGATCAGCACCGTCTCATTGTTCGACATTGCGCGATTCTCGGATTGGTGGTATGCAAGCCATTGAATGGCTTCCTCGCTTGTTGGGACCAGTATGAACTGTTCCCAATTTCCGGGTTTCCGGAGATTGCCCGGAAGTTTGTCGATTCTGCCATCTGCGTTCAACATTGTCCCATATTCGGTCATTGTGACCGCTGCAAACCAGTGGTTCATATTGTCTTCATGGGCCTCTGCCCATGCCATGTCCTTGTAGTTCTCGGGATGCAGCATTCTGCTCTCAATCTTGTCCACGTTGAGGATTGTCGACTTGTCATCCCACAGCGAGATTGTGACTCCCGTGGGCAACTGGCTCTGATTGTGGTAGTCGGGGATTGTCATCTCGACTGCCATCTTCAGCTTCGAATTGTTCTCCCCAAGGAGTTCGGTCAAGATTGTCGCGGCTTGTGAGCAGGAAAGGCGGCTGCGGTCAAAGATTGTCGACAAATTGTCAACCGAGAAAACATGCATTGTCTTTCAAACTCAAAATGCAAAACTTCAAACACATTGTTCTTCGGGTTGTACTCCGAAACGACGAAATGAAAAGCCGGGCTTATTGTGAGACTCAAGATCTTGTAGTACATATTGTCTATGACATAGTATGCACATAGTAGCTAAAGTAGTGTGCCATGGCTTGACGCGCCCATGTGTGCGTTGTACACGCATTGGTGCTGCCACGGTTGTGAAACTGTTTGTACGGCCGTTGCTCAGTTGTGGTGTTGTGGGCATTGAATGCCCGCCATGTAGAGGTGTTTGTTAAGCACCTCTGCCGAGACATACTTTGTCAGTATGTCTGCTGGGTTGTCGTGTGTGCTGATCTTGTGTATTGACAGTACCCCGCTTTGTACCATTTGTTGTATGAAGAGGTACTTCAGGTCAATGTGCTTTGCTTTCTTTGACGAGCCAATTCTTGTTGCAATGCTTTTGCCGCTTGTGCTGTCTGTGTGTATACGTATGTTCACCTTGGTTGTTGTGGCTTCCTTGATGAAATTTGCTATATGTAGTCCTTCTTGTGCTCCTGTTCCTATCGCATATAGTTCTGACATGTTCTGACTCTGCTGATGACAGTGCTACTACTGCTTGTGTTCTGCTTCCAAATTGTACCACGGATCCCATCATTGTCACGATGATTCCACTTGTTGATTTTCTTGCGCTTGGGCATCCTGCCCAGTCCGCATCGACATAAATGTTGAGGTCGATGGGTTCCTTTGTCTGCGGTGTATGTGTTGTCCTCAGGATCATCTTGTAGTGTTGTGTTCCCCTGAGGTATTGTAGGAGATGCTTCACCTTGCGAAGGCTTTGCTGTGTTGGTTGTTGTAGATCTCGCGCTAGTTCTTTTGTTGCAAAGCTGATGTCTGGTCTTGTGTAGGTCAGCCATTGTAGCTTTCCTACTGCCCTCCTGTAGTCTGCATGTTCTTGTGCATCTAGAGGTGCATCATCGTTTGTGGATTGTTTCAGGGTTGCCGTCCCTGGAGTTGATGCTGGATTGCTTGCTTCCATCTTTGTTTCCTTCAGCAATGTAGTGATGTATTCTGGTTTGAGGCTTACCTCAAAGAAGTCTCCATTGTTGTGAATGCCTCTGCCAAGGAATTGGATTTTTTGACCAATTCCCAATGTGCCGGTTGGTCGTAGTAGTACATGCTTTTGTACTTCATTGAAAGTCTTGTCGACTTCTTGTTGTTGTCCAAGGAATAGTAGGTCATCCGCATAGACCATGACAAACATTGTCAGTTCATTGTTCCTGTACACGTTGGGTTCACTTGTGAGTCAAGACAGTCCCAATTGTTGCAGGACCTGTGCAAAGTGATCTTGCCAAGATTTTGGACTTGATCGTAGTCCATAGATTGCTTTGTGGAGCTTCCATACTGTAGTTGTGTTGTGACCACTTGGGTATAGTTCTGGTGGTGGCCACATGTAAAGATTGTCTGTCGCTGCTGGTGCATGTAAGAATGCTGTTGACACGTCTCCTGCTTGTATCGTCCAGTGGTTGTGCTGTGCCATTGTCAGTAGGATGCGCAAGGTCCCAAAGATCGGTGTGCTCGCATAGATGTTGTCAAGGTCTTGGATTGTTTCCAGGAAACCTTTTGCTACTATGCGGCATCGTACTTCATCTTGTTTGGGTTTGTTAACCCACTTGGATTCTATGATCCTGTTCTTGTGTTCTTCTGTGACATCATCGTAGTTCATCTCTGTGAACACTCCTTGTGTCTTCATCGATTGGGCTTCTTTCTTCATTCCTTGTTGTACTTTCAATGGATCAAGACCTTCATTGTCGTAGACGAAGGGTTCTTGTAGCATCCTTTCCACTTCTGCTTCTTGTTCATCTTCACAGGATGCTGTGGTGATCTTGTCACCTTTCCTTGTGGTGATTGTCACTGCTTGTATTATCATCTTTGCTTTTGGTTGTTCTTCCTCTTGTCCTCGGTTTGCTGCTGTTGAGGACTGTGCTGTCCTTGATTGTTTGGATTGTGCTTCTCCTGTAGGTTCCTCGTGTTGTCGCTTGCTTGCTGGTGGTAATGGCAGTGGTGGTCTTGCCATTGTTGTTGGTGAAGTTGCCAATGGTGATGTTGCCATTGTCACATCCATTGGCTGATGATGCGTTGCTTGTGCTGGTAGTGCCAGTGGTGTCTCTTGTCCTGTCTGCGTGCTTGTATCTTCCACTGTGATGTCAGCTTGTGTGCCAATTGCTTGTCTGTTTGTGGTATTGTCAGCTGGTAGGAGCAATTGTGTTGGAACTGCCATTGGTGCTGTTGGCAAATTCCATGAATACACGTTGATGGTATCCAATAGTTGCTTGTCGTACTTGTCTGGCATGATCTGTCTTCGAATTGTTCTTGCTTTGATAACTTTGCCAGGGATGCCGACTATTGATTCTCCAGTCATTGTGTCCCTGCCAAGCCAGATTCCTTTGAAGAATCTTGGCTCCATCTTGGGTTGTGCCTTTGTTGTTGGTATCATGTATTGTACTGTTTCTGCCATTTCGCATAGTGGTTCTTTGTGGTCCTTCTGCCATCGTCTTTGGTAACTTGTTTGTCCGTCATTGTGCATGGCATACCTGTTCAGTAGCCAGGCTGCATGCCGTACAATCCACGGCGTGACCGGATGTTGTACGCTCAGTGTGAGGTTGTAGCTTGTGGTCACTTGTTGTACCAGTGCTCGGACTTGTCCCATCAAGGTGCGATGGAATCGTTCAATGCTTCCTTGTGATTGTGACAGTATGCCGGTGATTGTCGGATGTTGACGTTGTTTCCGAGCTTTTGTGCGACGGTCTTCAGCAGGTTCTGTATGTATTCTTCTTGGTCTGATTGTAGGGTTGTGGTGGACAGTGTTGCTTGTGCTCGCCCACATTCAATCATGAATGTTTGTAGACATCGTGTCAGGTATTGTTGTTGTTGGTTCTTGTCTTGCACAAGAACTGCCAATGCCATACCTGATTCGACATCTATTGCCGTGAGTACTGGTAGTACTTGTTTGTCTCCAAATGCTTTCATGTAGGTGAAGTCCACTTGTATCACTGGTTGTTTGCTTGCTTGTTTTGGGTGATTGTCTGTCCTTCCTTTGCTCTTGACACATATTGGGCACCATGAGCGATATGGTAAGTGTGTCAGCTCATGTTCTAGCCTCTCTTGTCTTGTTGGTTGTTGTGGTGCCTTCATTCCTTTGGCGCGTTGTGCTTGTTGTGATTCATCTTCATTGTCTGTATCGTACTCGTACTTGTACGTCGCTTCTTCCTCAAAGTTTGTTGATCCTGTCCATTGTCTGTCGAGCTGTCTTGCTCCTGATTCCTGCCAATTGTCATGGATTGTGTATCCTCTTCCTTGTTCCGTTCGGTTCACGAATGTTGTCCGTGTAGGTTTGAGTCGTCCAATGTCTGGACCATCATCTGTCTGTTGTGGTACGTACATTGTTGTCCGCGCTTGTACGTGAACTCGTTTCCAATAGTGTCCTTCTCTGATCCAATAGTCTGTTGTTGGTGTCATTGTTGATGGATCAGGTACTGCCGTGGTTGTTGGTGCTGGCTTCTTCGTTGTGTGTCGGTATAGTGGCTCTCTGCTTGCCTGTGGTGTTGTCCCGTCTCTTTCCGGGATTCGTCGTGTTGTGGATTGATGTCGTGCCTGTATTGCTTGTGATGCTTTCTCTGTCTGCTCTGTTGTCTTCGCTGTTGTAGGTACCGGTTGTGCTGGCGGCTTGTTCACTCTGAACCATGTTTCTCCTGTCCATGTGTCTCCTTGTATCACTCTTCGTTGTTCGTGCTTGTTCAAGTCATGGTATTGTTCAACAATGTCTTCGTTGTTCCCGTCGGTTCGCCGAATGATTGTTCGTCTGTAGTTGCTCAATGTCTCCAGTGGCACTGGGCAGTTGTCGCCAGGAACAAAGAGAGCTTTCCTCTTGTTCCGGTGATACCGTACAAGGTATCCTTCATTGTTGTAGTTCCAGTAGTCGCTATTGCCTCCAAGGACTTGTCGTGGTCCATGTCTTGTCAATGTTGTTGGGGCAATCATTGCAATCATGCCCTTTTGTGTTTGTCTCAGCTGTAGCTGTTGATGTTGTCCCAGGTTCATGACTGTTGCTGGCAAGTAGTAGGGAACATTGAACCCCTTGTCATGGCGCATTGTTGGAGTGTCGTTGAACCTGATGTCAAAGCCTTGTTCTGCCAGTCTTGTCACTGACAGGATTGGGTCATGGATGTCACACACATAGAATGGTATGACAATTGGCTGTCCTCTTGATTGCATGTAGACCCATCTTACTCCATAGCATTGTATTGTCTTGTTCGTCACTGTCCTGAGGTTTGGGATCTGTGCTTGGTCAATCTTGTACACTGGATAGTTGTCTGCAAACCATAGTGGACAGACGTGTGTGGCTGCTCCACTGTCGATCATGATGTGCATAGTGTCTGTTGTGCCGCTACTTGTTGTACCTGTTTTGTAGTCATTGCCATTGTTGATCATGGCGATGACATGGATTGGTGTCATGTCACTGTTGCCGTTGGATGGGATTGGCGGAAGTGCCAATGGCTGTTGTCCTTGTTGTTGTCTCGTGTAGTCCTGACAGTACCATCCATTGTCATAGTAGTCGTCGTACCATTGTGAAGTTGTATCCTCAATGTCAGGGCGTTCTCCTTGTCCAATATTGTGAATTGCCACTCGGCAGTCTTTGGCAAAATGTCCTGTTCTTCCACATCTGTAGCATGTATCTGTCGCTTGTTTTCCATTGTTCTTGCCTTTTCCTTTGTTGTATCCTTTGCTGAATCCTTTACTTCCTTTGTTGCCTCTTCCGAATGGATTGCCAAAGCCAATCGGACTGTTGTTGTAGTTGTTGAATCCTTTTCCTCCATACTTTCCTTTTCCTTTGTGGTTCATGTTGTAACTGTTGTACCCGTAGCCGTTGTATCCTCCGTAGCCTTTGCCTTTGTTCTTTCCTTTTCCTTTCCCTTTGTAACTGTTGTACTTGCCTTTTCCTTTGTGGATTGCATCAATGTCCATGGGTGCTTGTCCTCCACCAAAGTTTGTTGCTACACTGGATGATTGTGTCGTAATTGTTGTAGTTTGCTGAATGCTGTTGTTGATCTGTAGTACTCGATGATGGTTTGTTTGACTCGTGCATAGTTTGGGCTTTGTCCTGAAAGCAGTTGTAGATGTTGTTGTAGTGGTCCACTTGTCTCGTTGAGCAATACGGCAATCTTCACTGAGTCTGGGAGTGTTTGTCCATTGTCTCGCTCAAATCTTTGTAGCTCGAATTCCCATGTGGAAAATGATTCTTCGAAGTTGTTCTTGTCAAATGTTGGCTTCAACAGTCTTGTCAAGTGTCCTATAGATCTTGTCCCCAATGGGATGGAGAAGCGGATGCACAATTGTCTGTACATCTCGAAGCCAATTGTGTTTTGGTATTGTCTGCAGACTGTGGCTGCAGCTCCTGTTGTTGTGTTGATGGGGATGTACCTCAAATTTGTGCTGAGGCGAACATGTCGTTCACCATCTTCGATTGTTGATGCCGCTGCTCGTAATTGTACCTCTGTGAGTTCTGCTGTGCCTCGTTCTGCTGCTTGTAGTAGTTCTGCGTAATCATTGTCTTGCAATCCCATGTATGCTGTGAACTTGTACTTCCATTCCTCGAACGTGCCATAGTCTCCATTGAAGAAGGGTGGTTTGAGTTTGTATCTGTTCATGTTTGCTATGTTTGCTGTTGTCTCATCTTCTGGAACTGGAGGCAGTCCATCTCCAGCTTGAGCTGCTGCTTGTTGTGCTGCCATTGCTGCAGCTGTGCAAGCTACCTGTTGTAGGGTCAAGGCTTGCTCTCCGTTGTGTGTGGTTGTGGGCCTGTTCCCGTTGTTGTATTGGAGCTCACCTGGATTGTTGTTACCAGGATCCTTGCTCCGCTACCATGTAAAATTCAGCAGCTGTTTGTTTGTCGTTTGTTTGTGCACGTCTCTGTATTGTTTTCCTGTGGCAACTGTCCTTAGGCTCAAGGCCTCGATCCAAGGTGCATTGTACAGCACCGTGCAATTGTACATGAGCAGTACGAGAGAGTAAATGAACTATTGTAAAAGAACTTGTCTCTTGACATCTTTTCCTCCCCCTCGCTTTCTTCTCTTCCACTGGACTCTGCGGTACTCATTCATTCACACTGGTTCTGTCTTGTCACCTGCCTCAGAAGTCAACAGATCCCAAAATGCCAAGGCATGCGCCAGGCTGAGGACTGCCTGCGCGGGCTTAGCGAATTCCCGAATTCTCATGCAGAGTTTTGCTACAGGTGAGTGAGTGAGTGAGTGAAGCTGGCGCGATAGAGCGTTTGAGGATAAACATGATCTGCTTTTAACATCGGTACACGTGCACGCCTGGCCGAGAAATCGCAAAACAAATTGACCCTAATGACATCTAATTACTCTTGTCATCTCTTGTCCTGATCTCAAGGTCTCACAAGGTCTTCAGGTTGAAAGGCTTAGACTTGCTTCCTTCAAGGCACGTATTGCAAGAAACCATGCGATTGCTACACGTTTGGCAAATCTTCAGAAGGAACCTTAACTGATGGCAAATCATCGGTCTCCACCTGAACATGGCACATCATGGCATCCATCCACACTGTCTCGCAATGGCCAACAGTGTCCAACTGCCACTTTGACATGACACATCTATGGCACGCAATCTCGACAAGGAGATTCCCTTCGAAATAGCCGGGAGATCATACATATGCGCTGTTGTGGCCCTTGCTATTCATTCACACGCAGGCCAGTGGCCTCTTTGGCCACATCGATCAGCTTGAGCCTGTCGACCCAAAGGATGCGAAGTTGTTCTTCATGTGTCCGCTGTGAAGTCCCGTAAGTCAGCGCATGAACCATCATATTGGATTGTCACTCTCATGTGGAAGGAATGTGAACCGAGAATATCCAGTGGCAAGATGTGGCGAGACCCTTCTGAAGTCACAATGAGCATTTTCCAATCTCCATGGAACATCACGGAACATTAGTAACAAGAAGCTACAGGGGCTCCTGGCCTTACTACTAGGAGCAAGGACGCTACTAGGGGCTCCTGGCCTTACTACTAGCAGCAAGGACGCTACTAGGGGCTCCTGGCCTTACTACTAGGAGCAAGGACGCTACTGGGGGCTCCTGGCCTTACTAATATAACAAGAAGCTACTGGAACATGATTCAGACCTCCCAATCTGCAAGGACATCCGCCTCTCGACGGCGGACTGCAGCAGGTTCCTGCCGCGAAGCGGCGGGTCAAACAGGTGCAAGGGTCGGCTATAGTAAGTAGGCGAGTGCCCTTGTTGCCATAAAAATGCCTAGTGGTTCAGCCTCCCCAGCTCAAAATCCCGTCTCCCATGTCAGGGAACTGCAACATGAACATCACAGGCACCCTCCTGGGATTATTGCGCGGACACCCTCTTGGCACCTCATGATCGTGCTTTGACACTGAAGCTCCGCAAGTGCTTGAGCTGCCTGGACAAACAAAAGAACCCAACAATTGCTGCAAACATAGGGCGAACACATGGCCTGGGGGACCTCAGCTTACAAATTGTGATATCATTGATAGTCTCTGGAGATAACACCGTGCTCGGCAAATGTTCCTACAACTGTTTACAACAACTGCTATATATTCGGTAGAAACATTAGACAAAACAACTATATATAGAAATGGTTTTTTGGTACAATTATAAGAACATGAAAACTGGCCATGGGACTGTAGTAATACTGCGGTAGCCAATTGCTTGGGCTGGGAAGCCCTGCCAAAGAAATACTAGGCACCCCACATTGGCCACACCTTGCACAGTAAACTGAAGAACTTCCAGCTTCGCAATGATGGCGTCCAGAAACACCTACCATCAAATTAGAATCCATAGTCCATCATGTTCACTCTTTTGCCGTTCCCATGTCATGTCATGTTCATTCTTCGCCCAAATGCCCCAAGTTTACTTGGTCAAAACAGCCAACACTGGAATCATGCTCCTCAAATTCCCTCAACTTGCTATGCCAAACTCCAAACAGCTGTAATCAAAACAAAGCTCGATCGCCATGGTACGAACGACGGTTGCACCGGTCGGGCCCCGATCACTTCACAGCGGAGCCTCGGAACGAAGTTGAACTTTTCCAAAGCACCAAGCCTCGGTGCTGTCAGCCAGCCGCGAGGCCGTCCGAGGCCGTCCGAAAAAAACGAGTCATTCAGACTGGGACCAGGTTGGCAAGGCCTTGCTCCTGCGCCGAAACGACAGGTCAAAGGTGCTGATTGTGTTACCAAGGTGGAACAACTGGAAGGTGTTTCAGGTTGGAATCGGTGGCCTCTTATTTTTGTTTCTCGCCTGTTCAATGTCGATCTCAGTCTCAGAAACCCGGGTGGCAACTGCTGCGAAAAGCGGCATGCTCCGAGCTTGAGCCGTCGCAAACGTTTGACCTGGGTCGGACCGACACAGCATGCGGGTAATCCACTCCACTACGTGCATCCGCATGGACTCCCCACACAAATCACTAAATGAGGTCTCAGCATCGTCGCGTCTTTGCTACGCCCGTCCGAGCTTAAGTCCACTCTTGGGATCTACCCAGGTCGTTTGACCAGGCAGTTGCTCCGGAGGCGCCTGCGGATTGTCGTAGTAGTACAGAATGTTTCTGACAATCTCCACCCGAGTGACGAGACCATGCTCTGCCAAGTATGCCAACTCGTTGTGTTCATTCTGCAGGATGAAGGTGCGGTAGAAGAGATCCTGATCTCTCCGAGAGCCACCCGAGAGCACCGTACTGGATGCAAGGGGTAGCCTCGATGATGGCCAGGTTAAAGATTCAACACCTGGAACACCGGTTCCCGACATGCCCGAGACACCAGATTTGGTCTCATACTTTTGTCTCCAGTTTTGCATCCCAGCATTTGGGTAGTGAAGGATGACCGCATCGTCACTCTTGTTTGCTTGATATATTTCCTGCAGCATGGATCCATTGTCAGCCAACCAGCAGTGCTTATTTGACGGAATTGGCGGTGGCAAATGTCGATTCAACCGCACGATCATCTTGCCCCCTTCGTATGAAGAGAAACCACAAAATGCTTCAAGCATGCCAGCGTTGGATGGGAGATCATCCAAGCAAGGGCGATCAGGTCTAGAACCTGGCAAATTCAGCTTCAAACGCTTTGCCGCCTCTTGGCGTCGCAGGTAGACCTTGCCAAAAATACGGTCCCACCAGGCGTTGTCCTTGATTGCACGGTTCGACACACAGGCAAGCTCACAAAAACACACAAGAAGAAAAGAAGGCACTACAATCCTCGATCCTCCATGCTCCTTATTTGGACCATTGGGGAGCAAAATGCAACATGGCAAAGGACAGGTCTCTGCATCTGGTTGTTCTGGTTCAAACTCACGACCTTCTCTCTGCCGTAGGATGGAATCATATTCTCGAGGAGGGCGGAAACCGTGGCAGTGGTGACGATTAATCTGAAAAAGAGTACATTCTCGGAACCAGTCTCTGCATTCCGTATCCTCAAAAACATGTGAAGCATGTGTGCGTGAGTGTGTGTGCGAGCAAGATTGCAAGGAAGGGAAAAAGGCAACGTTTGACATGTCTACCAGGCCAGGACCAAATTGGAGAAGCATATATGTAAAATAATTGCAGAAGCCATCCATGTTTTGGCAAGTCTCTTCCGGAACAGCCTCGTGATTCCAAAGCCGGACAGCTTCAATGGAGCGCTCCTTTGAACCAAAGAACCTCCTTGCGCTGCACTCTTGCATTCGGGGGACATAGATGCACTCATCGATATCCTTCGATGGGTGATACTACCACAAAAAATAGTCTCTGCAAACGTTGTTGCTGCATCAAAAACCTACAGCCAAAATCAGCCAAACATGTCTAGCACAAAGTGAATACAAAGTGCAAAGAAGCATCCAAAAAGGCGAACCAATCAATTCCCATGTCATGGGCTTCCAAAATAGCTTGATCTGCGACGATCAGTTTTCTTGCAGAGCGATCTGCCTGCTGCTTCTTGCAAACACCTTCGTAGAAGTCATTCTTCTCCTCACCAAGCTGGGGATACAAGGGGGTTCCATGGGTGTTTTCTTGTCAATTCAGCAAAAATAACAAAAAACAAAACACATACAGAACAAAACTAACATAAACAGCTCTCAAAATGGGTCGCCCCCTAAAGCCTTAGCCGAGACTCTTGTCTTTGATAGAAGCGGCTTTGGAGCTTTGCTTTATCCCACCAGCTCGCATCCATCCTGTGAACCGTGAGGCCAGCGCCGGCCATCTTTTTGCTATGTGCATAGTCTTCCAAAGACTTGGCATGACGGATGCTCGGGTCATCAGGGTCATCAAAAAACAGGAAGACGTGATTCCAGCCAGTGACCCAGTGGTAACGTACAAAGCTGTCAAGCACTTCTTCCGAAACTCCTCGCAACATACAAGCAATGGCAAGGCCATGCTTGTAGATGTAAGGCCACACCTTCAAATTCTCAGGAGGATCTGCATCTACCCACCTGCAATAATCCAAAGGAACTTCAGCATCTGGAGGTGGTTTCAAGCCGACGGGCTTTAGCCTCAGACCAAGCAATTCCCAGCGACCATGTCTAGGAAACTCTTTCACTGGCACTTTCTCCAAGACCTCCTCCCGCTCATCCTCTGGATCATCTGTGAACAGGGGAACGTACGCACGGCGATGTCCAAATGAATCATCGAAAGCCTCTGAGACGTGCAATTCGAGCCAGGTTCCAGCCTTGTGGAGGCTCTGCCCTCGAAGAATATCGCCATATTCTCGGGATCCAATGATCTTGCTGTTGTAGGCCGTGGACGAGAACAACTTGCAATCTTCTGGATCAACAACCCGGTAGAAAACACGCTCGTCGTCCTCCTCCTCTTCGACCAGGGTCACCGGCTCGAGCTTCTCAGATTTCGCACGCTCCAGCAGTTGGTCCACGATGGGCTCGAGTGCATGGATGCCAGGAAACTCCCGATCACTGCGCCTGCACATCTCATCCATGAGAAGCTTCGCCTGAGGTTCCGATGTGCCAAGATTCAAACAGGCCGTCACTCCTCGAGTTCGCGCCTTGCTAAACTCGAAGGCTGGCACGAAATGAACTGCAGCACAACAATCTATCAAAGCACGCTTGAAATGCCCAAGGTGAAGCAATGCTTGTGCTCGAGTGCTAAGAAGCTCACAAAGCTGCTGTGACCACTCAGAACCACCTTCACGAATGTCACCCCGACCCTTGGGTCGGGCCTGAGTGTGGCAGTCGAAGGCCCGGTCGGCCATCACAAGGACCACTTTCCAGTGTCCGCCACCTGCCGCATTTTCTGCCTCTTGCAGGAAGTACCAGGCCCCGTGCTGGCAACAGTCCGACCACGAAGAAAATTTCTGGATTTCGGGAGTTGGCTCTTGTCCTTCAAAGGATTTCCAGCCTGCTGTCGGCACCTCAAGCTTCTCAGTTTTCACACCATACAAGGGCCGGCCACCCCGTCCAAGAACAAAGCCATACTTCACCTGACCATTCTTTGGATTTGTGTGAGCCTCCCGCGAGATGATGCAGTCTCCAAAGCGGTTCTCGTAAACATCATGATCTAGCCATCTTCGGCTAGCGGGCTTGTAAACGCCATCTGCTTCGCCACTGCCCGCGTCTTTCACCAAGATGAAGACCTAAGAAGCAATGCTAAAGAAGCAATGCAATTGTCACAAATGGCCTGCAACTGAACCCGAAGCCTTGAGGACTCATGGCGGCGCACAGTTTGCCAAGCAGAAATGAAATTGCCCTGAATTGGTCAATTGACTGAGGAGGGAACCAACTGAATTAACCCGCATGCTTCTGGCGACATGAACATGAATATAGATGAGCCCCCTCCAAGCTGAGAGGCTGGTTGAACTCGCTTCTGACCAGCTGCAGATGCCCAGGTCTCTCCATGGGCGACCCGAAAGTCCAAATTGCCATTGATCCCACTTACATCAGGGCCATAGCCCACCATGCTCGGCGACTTGAGCACAAAACCTCCGTCACCCGTTTGTTGATCGTCCAACTGACCGGGTTTGGAGGGTCCAACTGCATCGCTCGCTGCGGATCGTCATCCACCAAATTCGAATTCGAAAGATTGGGGCGGTGGTGGGATGCGGTAAGAACAACAAAGACAACAGCCAGTTCCATTGATACTGCAACATATGATATATATATATTATATTATATTATATATATATATTGTCAAGGACGAGATCCACTTCAAATCTTGACCACTAATAAACTAAACTAGCCTGTGGATACATATTATAGTTGAATATAGCTGATAAGATCACTGGCCCCTGAGTTGTATCGTTCTAAAGGCCACTCATGGCTCCTTTGCCTAGCACGCTCAACAAAAAAGACCACTCAAACGGAGTCGCTGAGCCACTGAGCCGCTGACTGATGTTTGCCAGGTTTTGAAAGGAGAGCTCGAGAATACCTGTCAAACATTGCAGTTCTGAACTGTGAAACTATGTCATTCTGGAAAAGCATGATACAACCACCAAAAATCCAAGGGCACGCTTTTCAGCAGCAAGGGCAGCTGATTCAAACCTGGAACGTCTAACCAGTGAATGAGGATGTTCAAGCTGGCTTGCACTGCTCTTTCAAGACTCGCAGCATCGTTGCTAGCAGCGAGTTCTTTGATCAATCAAGAGCTTCCGAATCCTGCAGGCTGAACTCCAACGCTCAGCCGCCGACAAGGTCTGCTCACAGGCAGATGATGTGGCAAAATCCCAAGCAATATTGCTCAATCCTGCGTCGCACGACTGTGCTGTCACATGTAACTCCAAAGACTGATGATGACTGAGTCTTCAAAAGTCAACGGCCAAGCCTATCCAAGTATGCAACATACTTCCCAAGTTGAGTTCTCCTAAACACCTAGGAACCAAATCACTAGGCCTCACGGCCTGAGCCCTACATGCAAGCCAAGGACCCATAATTATACATATAGGCCAACGGGCATCGCAGCATCGCTTGTTCGTCGCTCCTTGAGGGGCAAACTCATCAGTCTTGGATCCTGCGCGCACCATCAAGGCTGCAATCCTTGGCCGAGGAAACGTGTGTAAGGTGTTGATCTTGGTTGATGATCCTTGACTCCTTGTCCTTTGCTCACTAGGGACAATCCACATGAAATCAGCTGACATGTATCGTCTTTGAGACCTACACGTCGGTCCATTCTGGACTCGCCAGGTCGCAAAGGCCTGGAAACGTTGACGGCTGATCGATCGGGCAAGTCACGAAGCTCCGAGATCAGCTCCGAGAGAAAAGCATTTGTAAAAAACGAGAGTGAATAACATGGTGACCTGGTGCAAGCATATGCACATACAATACATAAATATCAAAAACATACCAATTGTTTCATGATGTTTCATGTGCCATTAACCCTAAGCAAGCGAAACTCCAAGCAAGAAATCGACCCATTGACAGTTAACACCGGGAAATCACTGAGTATGCGATCCTTCTGTCTACACCTGCTCAACTCTCCTCATGTGTGTGTTTTCTCTCTCTCTCTCTCGCCTTCATCTCACCCTTTTCTTTTTCTATGAGTGCAGCATTTGCTTTTTGGTACTGTTCTCCGTTCCGTTTGTTCTCTCCCCCAACCTTCTGAATTGCGCAGTTCTTGTCATTTAGTAGACCCATAAAATACTAAAAAATCACCGGCAGCTGGCCCAGGCCGTGTCTTGAAAATTATTTACACCACATTATATATATATATGGGAGATCGCACTGCAAACCAGAAATCAATTCACAACCGGTACCGCTTTCCTTGGTTAACTAGGTTCAACGACAGCAAACACGGAATATGACATGATTGAATTGTCTGAGCACAAGAACTGGGGCAAAACAGCAAGAGCTTGAGGTGAGGTTTCTTTAGGACTTTAAGACCGTTTTGCTAAGTCTTCAAAACTTGCGACTGGCTTCATTATAGCATGTGGAATCCTGATGACGGTCTACTGGCTTTTTAACTCGCGGTGTGTGTGTGTGTGTGTGTCACAGGCTGGTTGAATGGCATCAACTGTTGGTCGGGCATAGTGATGGGTTTAGGTATTGAAGTGTAGGCGTTTATTGGCAAGCCCAACCTAGGCATGCATTTTCACAATGACAAAGTCCTGACCCTAACCAACATGGAATGAGAGCCGAGCCTTCCGAATGGTTTGGCGTGCGCCCTCTCTCTCTATATATGTGTAAACGCTCAATCTTTTTCGCCACTTTAAAAAAAAACACACATTCCCCCCACCTACGCCATGCTGGCCAAACTCCGCGCAGTGAAACGGGGAGCCTGGTACCTCCATTGGGTGAGGGCATTGAAACGGGATCTTCTCGCCTTGAAGGCTTTCAACTGAACTAAGATACATATCCATATAATTCCATATACAGTACTGTATGTGTATATATATATATATATTTTTACGTAAATGCATCCTTTTAGAATGCGACCCTATACGGGTGCATGAATTCATCATGAAAAGGACGAATCTAAGTTTAACGTGGAATTCTGGAAGCGTATATGATCATATTGCAGTATACTGCATACTGATGTTGTACAGGCTTGCCTGGTCTGGAATCCAGATTGGAGCACAGGCCACCAAGCAGTCACCAATCTCAGCACTTTTAGACGGTGAAACCTTTGGTCGGTGCAGCGATGGGCACCCACACTTTGGTCGGTGCAGCACCCTCACTCCATTCGCGAGCGACATGGGATCCAGTATGTGGCCAAGGCATCTTTTATATAGATTTCTTTCTGCTGGCCTCTGATTGCTCATGTCTCATGTCATCTCTTGGATCCTAGGTGGTGGCTGCTTCATCTGCCCTTGTCGAATCTTCACAGCCAATTCCTTCAGGCTTTGCACCAACATCGGGTCTCGTGCTTGCCTCAAATGCACCGAAAACCAACACCACTGGCTTCTGCTAAAGAGAAACTGTTCAACCAGAATTACTGTATACAGATAGGACTTGTGGCCAAAAGTGAGTTAGGAGTTTGGCCAGGAACTCCTATCTCATGTGCGTTCAGAGCGCAGCACTCACCAAAGAAAACACCTGATGAGATAGGACTTGCTGACATGTAGCAGCAGTTTTTTTGTCAATGCCAAGACACCCTTTCCCCGGCCTGTAAGCCTGTAAGCTTTGAAAGCTCAGAACCATACACCTAACCTAAACACTCGCATGTGCTAGAAAGTGTCTTCCAGCACATCTGCTCCATGGTGCATTCAAACGGCTACAAGAGTTCTATCTCACATGCAGCACACCAAGAAAACACCAAGCTATGCATCGCCTCGGACTACCTGTGCTGAACCTTATATAAATACCAAAATTGCAATGATGAGATAGAACTTTGTGATTTCTACTATCGTTTTACAACTCCTCTCATTTTTTGCCTAGTATAACCATTTGATAAGTGTTCTGCAAAGCCTGGCCTATGCCATACGCAAGAACAAGTTGCAGTCCGATGTTCCTTCGGATGTTGTCAAGCTCATCAGCAATCTTCCGCAGAACTGCTATGTGTTTTTGTCTCACTTTCTGGCATTCTTCTGTCCCTTCCAAGCCTGTTGCGTTGGTTGTCAAACCTACAGTACGAATCCATATCCAGCATCCTATGAGTTTTTGTCGAACAAGTGGGCGTCAATTCGAAGGAAAAAACTGAAGCTTCAGCCACATCAGCCAAGTTTCTCTTCTCCCTGGCGATGTCTTCCAGCTCCTTCCGTTTCAGCCGTGCCGAGTCCAAGCTGCTTGCTGCCTCAAAGCGCTCTTTGAGTGCCTCTTGCCTGAGTCGAAACAGCTCCTCCTCCCACTGCTGGTCCTCAAAGTTGCACTGAGCACACTGAGGCCACGGCCATCAACACGACAAGAAACAAGCCAACAAACAACCAATGACACTAGACCTGACGCGTCGACCATTTCAGCCATTTGTTTTCAACCTCCAATTATCAGTCAAAAAGCCTAAATCAGGGGACAACACAGTACCAAATGATGCCAAGTGTCTCTCAGCTGGCGGTCCTGATGCAATCGAAGCCGCGCAGCTCTTGCTTCACCAACCAAGTGCTCGACGCGAGAAGCCAAATCTGCTTGCGTCTGCTCAAGCCTGCCACTCACTCAAAGGCACTGAGCAAAAGAGAAGAACCCCTTGGTGCAAGTTAATCATCTGACAGTACTGTTTGACACAATGCGAGCTCGCGTGGGCATCGACCAGTCCCCGGGGAATTCTGGCGTACACAAAGGTATCAGCACGAACGCTCAGATTTCCACAATGCCAAGTGCCAAACCATGTGAGTTGATTTGAGTATAGTCAAAATAGCAGTATCCTTTTGCTTCCTGACGTTAGAATCCGTTAGAACATGTTAGGGCATGCATGCCATGCATGCGCTTGCCTCTGGTTGAAGGCTGTGATCCATAGCTGACAGCTTTGCTCGATCTCTTCGACCTTCCTTGACCTCTCATCCTCGAGGTCCATCATTTCCTTCCGAGCTCGTTCATGAGCCTCCACTTCCTGATCGAGAGATTTCTGGTATTCCTCATCTGCGAGCGATGACATCTCATGTGCTTCTTCTCGAATTGCTTTCAAGGCTTCAGAGCGCTCGGCCGATTTTTGCAGAACTTCATCTTCGATGGAACTCTGGTGCACCAACATCTCTTGTTCAATCTTGTGGATTCGTTCGTCAGCATCATCTCTAACAGCACGTATCTCAAGTTGGAGCTCTTGTATCTTGGCTGCATGACCCGACTGGAGCTCCAACTGTTCGTCCTCAATCTGCTGCCTTTTAATCTCTGTCTCGCGATTGATCTCTGACAACAGCTCCTCGGCCTCTGCTTGGATGACTTTGACCCGTTCAGCCGCTTCAGCTGCATAGTCAGCCCCATGCATCGCGCAGCCGCCACCCAGGCACAAGCTGGCTTTTTGAGGCTGCAGCTGCGAGAAAGGCACTGCAAAAGCCCCGAAGTCGACACAAAGTAGACAACACGCGAAGTCTTCAAAGTCCCAAGCTTCCGACAGCGATGCCACAACAATGGCACGCAACAGCGGCTCCCTCCTATGATTTCAAGCATTTGCCAAGGCCTCTGATGCCTCCGGTTCCAGCGTACATAGAAAAGGGCATACCTCCTGCCTTAGGGGGAGGGGATCTACCCCCTACCCTAGATTAATTATTTTTATGAATCCGGGGTACCTCCACTATTTAATCCTGAGCTGCTCTAGGTCTGGATTAGGAAATTAACATCTTTTTAATCAGAGGGGTTTTAGTCTCAACCAGATCATAAGCAAAAATGACAAGGGGGGTCCACCTATTTAATCCTGAGGGCCTCCACCTAATTAATCTGCAAATTTTCAGAAGTCAGCCATAGGGTGGTTCACCACTCACATACCCTTGGATTCATTTCACACCTTTTTGCTCTCTTTCTCTTCGGCCATCCTCACTCTATTTCGCATTCCGGTACGCTGTACAGCTGACCCGTTTTTGCATAATTAATCCATACCATGGACAGCTAATTAATCCAACAACCTTGTTTTAGAATGTTTGTTGACTTCTTGGTGGTCGACCCCCTCAAGATTTTTGTATGAATTTTGAAAATTAATCCAAATAATGAATCCCAGAACTCAGGGGGGCCTTGGGCGCATTTCCTAAGGATGCAGGTATAAAAGGGCGAGTATGGCAAGCAAACCGATCCACATGATTTGGCTATGTGCTACAAGTCTTCCCTTTCAGGTCGTGGGTGTCTTGCTCGTTTCATCTTGGTTCGGTTCAAACGAAGTGGGGCCACAGCTTGTAGAAGAACCTGGGGACATGCATTCACTATGGCTTTTGGCATCAAATCTGCCGAGAGAACCCCAGCGGCTCAATGGCGAGTTCTTCTACCTATCAACGATGCCTGACGAGGCTTTTCCTTCTTTGTTGGTCGATATGCCGTGGAAGCTACAAGGACAAAACAACAAGTTTTGGAGAAGGCCGATTTAGTGTGGCCCGGTCGGTCACGGTCTTACTGCTCTCTATCTATCTCTGAAATGTTTCCGCACCCCCTCCTTGGCAACAGCTTCCCGAAGCTTCAACTGGCATGGACAGGTGCATTTACTCAAGCGCAGCTACGGTACTCCAGCTCAGCTCAAGTTCAATCCATACCGTACAGTTGTATGGGGCCAGGTGCACAGCAGTGCAGCTGCGCAGCTGTGCTTTGTCCTCGCAGTTGGGATCGTCCTCTGTCATTGTGGCGCCAATGTGCGGAAAACTAGGCCCTTGCCGTGCAATGACACCCTGTCTGCAAAAAAGAAGGTGATGTCGGCCGAACAACATCCATGCAACTGGGGAAGAGTTTTGTTCCCCAAATTTTTGGTTGGCAGCAGTGCACGAACAGTCACGCATTGGAGTGACGAACTGTCAAGCCACGTGTTTTGTTGCACTGCTTCACTGCCAAAAGTTCAAGAAGCGGCCAGTCACTGCTAGTCGGTTGCATCCTCATTGGTGGGCTCGCCTCGTTGGGCGGTGATCTGCAGTAGGTCAGCCAGGATTCACAGGTGCTTTCACCAGCCACAACTGCCTAGAAACACCCATATATAGTATCGTCCTCTGCTCTAGTCTCACGTAATTACAGTGAGCAAAAGCCTATCGGCCAATGCAATTCCAAAGGTTTTGCGTCATTTGCCGAAGGGCACGGCTCGTTGATCACTCCACTGACACTTGTCACCACATCCTGGTGAGCATGTGTTGACTCAAACGGACAAATCAGACTCATTGCTGCTTCGCCACAGCATTCAAATCCAACAAATTCCAACTCCAACACATGGAATCAATTGCACCCTGTTCCAACATGCTCCAATCAAATGGCCATCTGGACTCCTGCTCTTTCAAGGAGTGTCCTCTCAGGGCACGCTCATCCAACACCAAGAACTAGAATGATGATAATATGCTGATGATACTTATGATGACATCCGATCTGATGGGCAATGCCCTGTAGGTAACCTACGATGGTGTCTTGCATCAGGTGATCCCGGCACTGATCCCCGAGAACCGCATCAGGTGATTGTTCTCCAAGATGTTCTCTAGACCCCCGAAGGGTACTTGCGCAACATGTAGCGCCACCCAACGGCCCTTCACCACCCAACGGGCCCTGGGTCTTGAGTCTTATATGAATCTGAAGAAAGGCTTCAGGATCGGGATTGCATGTCTCTAGAGTCTAGAACGGCCAGCCAACCAGACCACCAACAAACACACTTTAAAAACATAAACTTCAAGGTCCTCACAAAAACGGACTGACCACCGAGAAAAACAGACATGGGGGAGTGCAAGTATTGCTAGTTAACACCCAAGAAATAGTAAACAAACATGAACCAATCTACTTGCAGAACGCGAAACCCGGTCCTTGTTTGGAGCGATCAACCCTCAAGGCCACCCAAACCTTGGACTCGTCCCAGCTACGCGATGCTACGCGGCGACAAATGGCCAAGAGTAGCAGATTGAGCTTGCATTTCACTCTCCAAAATGGGTTCGATTCACTTGGCCTCTCGTTTGAAGCTTACAGTAAAAAACGCATGTTTGAGGGCCTAACTTGTGCGGGGCGGGGTGTCGTTTTTCTGCGGACGGAGGCAAGGCACTGCGGAATTACATTTGAAGCCACTTCCAAATGAAATTTGAAGAACTCGTTCTCCCGGATGAAGGTCCTTAGAAGGATGAAGTGCTGGTGAAGGCTCGTGGAGGTCATGGGGGAATGCTGACACGGCCATTGATGGCAACATTACTGCGAACAAAAAAGTGTGTTGATTTCTCTCTCTCTCTCTCTCGTTCTGCGATGTAGCCACTCAGTCACATTTCATTTGAAAGTGGGACTCTGTACTAGAGCGTCTTTGTTTGGTGATACACACACAATATCGGGGCATGTGCTTGATAATCGAAGCTATTTCGTGTTGGCCAAGCAACACCGAACCTTTCGATCCAATCAGTCTCATACCAAATCGAAGACGAGGAAGTATTGCCCCAATCGTGGAGGGTCTGTACAGACCTGTCAAGAAGGCTGCAGCACAAAGTTCAGGCAAATTGCTTCTGACTGCAAGCTTGCAACCGGGTCACGGTCTGATCTGTCTATCACTCAATTTCAAATTCTTTTGCACACCTTCAATCACAGCACGTCCACCTGGCTCGGAATTGAGCTGGATGTACAATGCATAATATATATATATATATATATTAGTGCGAGAACAGTGCAATATTTTCCAAATACTTTGATGATGAGGTTGACGACTCTGGAGTGAGATCACAGGGCCTGCGTGAATGCAAAAGTGATCAATACCTGGGTGGCAAGAAAGCATTGTAATTGCTAAAGATTGGGTTTGCTTGGACATGCAACCATGGGTCTAGAGTAAAGACTAGCGAGGAGGGTAGCTGGTGGCTATGACAATCTAATTGATCACATTGAAGCATCTCTGTGGTTGGTGCTGGCCATTGCACCCGCGCACACAATACAGCAAGCGAACAGAATCCGTCTGAACAGCAGCTGAACGTAACTCTTTTTTTGCAAGCGCTTGCACATCTTGGCATCGTGTCGAATGTTCCGACAGCCCAAGGTCTGCACAAAGCAGTGGCCAAAGCTGAATTTCACAAGAGCCCTTCTTCTGGGCTCTGGATCTAGCTGCATGCCAGTTTTCTAACAACCAGCGCTCTTCTGAGCCATGTCTCAGTTGAACTGGAATTGCCACTAGCTGGCTGGATTGCGGCATAGACCAACTCTCACGCGAGAAATAGGTACATGAACCTGAGATAGGAGGTTTGTTGGTAGAAGAGGTTCAAGCAGAAGGCTTGCTGGTTTGCCTTGCGCTCACAAAGGAATAGATTATCTCATCGGAGGCAAGTCTAATCAAAGTATAGGTTTAGCTGCAGCTTTAGCTGTCTGTTGGTCTGTGCTTGTTCTCGGCCTGTGTTTTCCCCGCATGGTCTTGTCTCTGCCCCAAAACGGGAAAACCTACTTTAAGTGATCAAATATGCACAAACAGAATGGGCGCAAGCTTCAAAGTCTGAGATCGTCATGGAAGCTTCTTGATGCACAGTTGATTTGCCAACAGTTGCAAGGGTACAATATGCATAATATGATAATATGTAATATGCATATGCGGGCGTGATACATAGTGAAGCCACAGCATGGCGCTCAAGAATCACCCTGTCTGAGATACCTGACAACCCTTCTGACAAGTTTAGCTCTTGCTGCCATGGGACATGCTCATAAGGGCAAGGCCTGTCAGGAACATTCTGGTACATCAGTGCTTTTGCACTCCTCACAGACTTCTGGGGACTTGGGGTTCTATCTTGCTTTCCTAAGGACCTGCCGGAGAAAACAGCAGCAACCAATAGAACAAGTACGACAAAGTACGATGTGATTCCAAATTGATAGCACAGCTTGGGCATAGTTGGGCCTTCCCTGCGCCAACCCTGTGTTTGGCCACACCTGGCGCAAAACTATCTGCCAAGGACTTCTCCGGCTCCTCGGTGGTCGTCGTTGTGTACCTGAGGTGTCGTCGGGATCGGTGAAAAGGCTCGGCAAAATAGAGCCATCCAGAAAAGGTGCAGCAAAAGAAACACATTTAGGATGCAGTTGTTGTGCAATCCCACGAATCCCCCTCAAAAACTCTTGATTCATGTGGCTGGTCCGTTGCTGAAGAAAGAACAGATAAGAACAGTATGGTCGCACGTAATTAGGGCTTTCCTGCATGAGACGGCACTCACCGCAACAAGAAGAACATCGAAGAAATAGAAAATCAGGTTGGACGACGGCTCACTGTGTAGCAGTCCCTCAACAAACCCAGCTTGGGTGGATGGTTGCTTTTGACTTGTTGGCCCTACCCCAAAAAGGTCGTACGTTTGACATGGTAAGCCGCGACAAAATCATCCTAGCTGGGAAAATGAGCATAAGGACTCGATCAACAATGCACGGAGGCAACACCATTTCCCACTGAAGGGTCACCAAATGGTTTATCAAAGATCCATACTAAGACCCAGGAAGACCTCTTCTTGGGAGCTTGAGCAACCCATCTCTGGGATGGTTTTTGTAACTAGGTTTATTGCGGATTTCTGGGGTTGATTTTGGGACTCTGGATTTTTGATGATTTGGGGGGAGGCTGGGTCCAGAGACCATTGAGATGCAGTGGAGGTGGCGGAGAAGGAGAATTACGTAAGGAAATGTAAGGAGAATGCAACAGTTTAAAACATGAGGTATGATGATTCTTTGACTCATGAGTTGCACTAAGTGGGAACCAACAATGAGCCAGCACACACAAAAGGTGTTTTGGGAGCTAATCGAGGTTTGAAAAGAGAAACGAGTATTGAATTGGCAATAGTGCCATAGGATGAGGGATTGGTGGAATTAATGGGGGTGAAGAGAGGGAAAAGAGACGATTAGTATTCCAGAAGAATTGGCCAAAGAAGGTGTGCCAAACTACGTAGTTGATGCGGGATTCCGGATTACATACGGTACTGCAGTATTTAAAAATTGTTGAAAGGGGGGCGAGAGTTGGGCCAAACTTTTGGCACCATTCTATATAATGCACATGTCGTGATACAATGTTCATCAATTTGTCAAAAGTTGGCCGAAGAACAAATGCTCCCAGCATCTCCCACAGCACCAGAAGTCCATGAATTCCCAATCTCTTTTGGTCTGACAAGCCTTCTGGATTTTGTTGCACATGCACTGGCTTTCTTGAAGGTTGTTGAGGGTTACTGAGGGCATGTTGAGTGGCCCAATCACCATGAGAGCTTGATTTGATATTGATCGTACTATTGATCGTCTAGCGGAGAACATGCAAGGTCATGTAAGACTCCACCGCATACTTTCGTACAGTTTCCTCTTGGGCCAGAGAAGAACCTGAAGGCTTAGAGACGCCAAACGGGTTTTCTCCAGGTGGGGCCGCATCGAAAAGAAGGCACTGCAAATCCCATCCAGGATGCCGAATATCAGGTTGACACAGGTACTTGGTGCTGTGGTACTGGCAGTTATAATCCTCAGGGGCATACGAGCTGCAAGACAGGCACATGAAGAAAACAAAAGGCTCATGTGTGCATGATTCATGATGCCTGTCATCAAACGTCATTCATGTCCTGCATTTGTTTAACCAGTTTGTTGTTGTTGCCGGCAACACCCTTTTGCCAAAAACAGCATGCAGTTATTGCACTTTTGAGCATGCTGCTAGCAATATTCTTTTCATGTGACCATTGCCAAAAAAGAACCTAAGCTGTGATGTACTGCTTCTTGATGAGTGTTACGGTCGCCGGAAAGAATGTTAGAACCTGGATGAGAACAAATCGGAGGAGGAGGAGGAGGAGGTGTTAGACCTTGCGGCAAACAATGCCAAAACACACAACAATTTTTAGGTCAAACGTGAGATATCAAACACCGTGTCAAAACACAATTCAACACACATGTCGTTTCACTTATCAAACAGCTGTCAGAACACATTTCCAAACTCATTCTGAACACTCCTCAGAAAACATGTCCGATTGCAGTACTTGCATTGTTTGTCAAAAAAATATGTTCTAAACAAAAATAAGATACATTCCGGAATTGACAGCTGCCCTTGACAGCTGCGTCCAAGCAGCGTTGAACTTCATCTCACCATTTCCTTGAGGCGGTAACCACAACCCAAGAAAGCAATTTGCGTGATAATCGCCTTAGAGGTGAGATGTTGGCCACATATGGCCACATCACTTCCAACTCCAGATGTTGCAACACGACATGTTGGTGACACAAGCGGAGTTCGAAAGAGCACGAAAGCAAACCAATATGACCAAAGCCTATAGGAATCTGCCACCTCCGCAAGCAGTTATAGCCTACCTTTGGCGCTCAGTGACTCAAGACTCCTCCCGAGAAGGCTTCTAATCTATGCTGTCAAACGAGCCCCGTCTGTTTGAAAAGTGAAGTCCAAGACACCATTAGGCTCCCCGAATGGCGTGTCTCGAAGCCACCAACTGAGTCGTGGTTGGTGGAGTTCACTGCAATATTGTCCAAAAATGGACAAGCACTACTTAGACTTAAACGGATTGAATCTTGACAAATAGGTCGTTGACAAATTAGCAATGGAACTAGCGTGTGACAAATCTGCGAGTTGAGCTGGAGCTACTTGGAGGTTCTGTCAGCAAAATGCTTGAGGGAGAAACTACATAGGTAAGGTAAGGATCTCAGTGATTTTGGTGCAACAAGTACAATGATGACAAGCGGCTCGCTTCCATCAATTGTCTTCCACATACTCTGACCTCAATTGTTGATCCGAACCATGACTCTTATGTTTCAAAGTGCCACAGGAAGATCCTAGTATTTAATTACAAATGTCGGGCAACACGGCAGCGACGAAAAACAAGAGGAAGGTCCCCATCCAAATTTGATTGAAACGGCATCTCTTCCTAATTGCGAACTCACCTTGCATCCACTGCCCACTCTGGCAACAAAGAATGTTGTCGCTATATTATGACGTGCATGGAGAATTACTGTGCGTCAAAACCCACCAGAATTTGTAGGTTTACGTGAACATAAAGCCCTTTAGACTGCCCTTTAGGTGCAAGCCAGCAACCTGCTTCTTCGGAATTCATTGCTTTCTGCGTGCAGCCACCGCAGCCGTTGGATTTCTGTGTGACGTCGAAAATCCTTTGTCGCAAGGCGGGTTCCGCAGCACCCGCCTCTGGAACTCTCTATGTGGCCCTATATTGCATACATGCGGATCGTGAAGTTCTTAGTTCACATGTTAGCCCTGGCTTCTTGAGCCCTTACTAACTATCTGGCCAAGTTGTGCCATCAGGCGTTGGAAGTAGGGAGAGAAAAAAAGCCTCCTGGGACTATGATTAGACTAACTAGTGACCAGTCAATGACAAGCAACGTGCAATGTTTCCCCTCATGCTCCAGCCACGGGCATGCACATCCCGGCTTGTCGTCACAAACGTCAAAAAATCATATCTATATTGGTCTATTAGTCTATAGGTAATTGTATTTGATTCTCTATTCAATTATATGACCTGTTGCAATGTCCAAGAACAAATGCAAAGCACAAGTGCAAGTCGTTTGCTACTAGCAAAGCTAGTCGGTGCTGCTCAGCAACACATGTGGTGCAGCAACTTCCCCCAGGACGCCCAGTGCCACAATCGTTTGCCAGTCCTCCTGTGCAGCCGTGGTTGGCTAACGGAATATTTCCGAAATGTTCAGGTGCTGAACTCAATGATGGCATGGTTAAACAGTCCCCTGGTCCTTCGATCGCGGTGAAAATATCTTCCAATCCTTTGGGCAATCGTTGGGTGCATCAGCCTTGTGAACCTTCT